CCCGAGTTGCCAAGGCTATAAATCTTTTTGGAAGAAGACTGACTCATCTTTCTTCTGTGGAGCAGCTGATGGATTCAAACCATTGACTTTTTGGTCACCAGACAAATGCCTTAACAACTATACCACCAGAGCTCCTTATTTTATTTATAAAACCAAACCCAACCCACTGCTATTGAGTTAATTCCAACTTATAGCAACCCCCACTGGGTTTCCAAGGCTGTAAATCTTATGGAAGTAGACGATCTCATCTTCCTACAGAGCAGCTGGTGGGTTTGAACTGTCAACCTTCTGGTTAGCAGCCAAATGCCTTACTCACTACACTACAAGAGCTCCTTATTGTATTTATACAATAAGTCTTAACATCTGGTAGTATGAGTCTAACAACTTTATTAGTTTTTTAATATCATTTTAGCTATTCTACTTCCTTTGCCTTTCCATATAAAGTTTAAATAAGTTTGTCTATACCTATAAAAAAGGAGCTCTGGTGGCACAGTGCCTAAGGCGTTTGACTGCTAACCAGAAGGTTGGTGGTTTAAACCCACCAGCTGCTGCACAGAAGGAGGATGGGGCAATCTACTTCCATAAAGATTTACCACCTCAGAAACCCAATGAGTTGCTATGAGTCAGAATCGACTCAATGGCACTGAGTTTGGTTGTTTCTTTTGTATACCTATAAAAATTCTTGCTGGAATTGCATTAAATCTATAGAGCAGTTTGGAGAGTATTAACATCTTTACTATTTTGAGTCTTTAAGTACACAGGCATGATACATTTCTTCATTTGTTTAGATCTTCTTTGATTTCTTCCACCAGTCTTATAGTTCTCAGTACACAGATCTTGGACATGTTTTGTTCGACTTATACCTAAGTATTTCTTCTTCCTTTGGAGTGATTGTGAATGCTATTGTGTTTTAAATTTCAGTTTCCAATTGATCATTGCTAATATATAGAAATACAATTTGTTTTGTATGTTGATCTTGAACGCTGAGAACTTGCTAAAATCACTTATTAGTTCTAGGAGTTTCTTTGGTGGATTGCTTTTTTTTTTTTTTTTTTTTGATGTATACAATCTTGTAATTGGCAAATAGATTCAGTTTTATTCCTTTCTTTCTAATCTATATCCTTTTCTTGCCTTATTACACTGGCTAGGACTTCTAATACTACATTGAATAAGAGTGGTAAGAAAAGATATCCTTGCCTTAATTCTGATCTCAGAGAAAAGCTTCCAGTCTTTCACCATTAAGCATCATGCTCTTTACCAGTACAGGGGACATCAAACTCAACTGGCATAACGTACTACACAAAAACATTGTTCTACATCCTACTTTGGTGAGTAGCGACTGGGGTCTTAAAAGTTTGCAAGTGGCCATCTAGATGGAACAATGGGTCTCTCCTCACCGAGAGCAAGGAATAATGAAGAAAACCAAAGACACATGGAAACAATTAGTCCAAGGGACTAGTAGACCATATGATCCTCAGCCTATATGACCACGAGTGCCTAAGGCACTTGACTGCTAACCAGAAGGCTGGTGGTTCAAACCTACCAGCTAGTCCTCAGAAGGAAGGTTGGGCAATCTATTTCTGTAGTGATACCACTTCGGAAACCCCAGGAGGGGTCACTATGAGTTGGGTCCAACTCAACGGCACATAACAACAACAACAGATTTTGATTTGATTGATTTTCTCTATTTTTCATGTTATGGATGTTTACTCTCAGTTTTATTATTTCCTTCCATCTTCTTGCTTTGACTTTAGTTTTCCCTTCCAGTTTCTTGAGGTGGAACCTTAGCATATACTTCCAGTATTTTTAAAATGCTCAGTGTTTCTAGAATGCATTTATACTCCTTGGTTCTCTGAAGAACTCCTTATGCATCAAAACCTACCTGGGATGTCACTTCTGAAGCAAAATAGGATTGAGGTCACTAGTTTAAGCTCTGGAGCCAGCCTTTCCTCCCACCTCTCTGCACCACATAAACACCAAGCTTGTGGGTTGGTAAGTCTGAGCAAAAGAGCTGCAGAATTGAAAAAGTGTTGTGAACAACGTTTTCAAGAATTTGACTTCTTTGCAGGATCCCATCAAATGGGGGTGGATACCATTCTGAGTAACCACAGAGGGGCTAGGGGTCATAAAAATGCCAACTCACATTTGTAGGCTTAAAGTTTTAGAGACGCCGTCAAGTTTCCTGACAACTCAATGGCAAGGCAGGAATTAGCATTCGCATTTGGGTGATCTGCCACTCCTCTGTCAGTTCATCGTATGGCTTGCGTGTGACTGTGATGCTGGGAGCTATGCCACCAGTCATTCAAATACCAGCAGGGTCACCCATGGTAGACAGGTTTCAGTGGAGCTTGTAGACTAAGACAAAGGATGAGGACATGACCCGGAAAGGTATACACTAGGGTTGTACCCTTTCACCATATTTATTCAATCTGTATGATGAACAAATAATTCAAGAAGCTAGACTATATGAAGAAGAACGCAGCATCAGGATTGGAGGAAGACTCATTAACGACCTATGCAGATGATACAACCTTGCTTGCTGAAAGTGAAGAGGACTTGAAGTACTTACTGATGAAGATCAAAGACTACAGTCTTGAGTGTGGATTACACCTCAACATAAAGAAAACAAAAACAAAAACCCTCACAACTGGACCAATAAGCAAGATCATGATAAATGGAGAAAAGATTGAAGTTGTCAGGGATTTCATTTTACTTGGATCCACAATCAACACCAAAGGAGCAGTCAAGAAATCAGATGCCATACTGCATTGGGCAAATGTGCTGCAAAAGACCTAAGTGTTAAGGACCAAAGAAATCACTTTGAACACTAACCCAAGCCACGGTATTTTCAATTGCTTCATGTGCACATGAAAGCTGGACAATGAATAACACAGACCAAAGAAGAATTGATGCATTTGAACTGTGATGTTGGCAAAGAATATTGACTGTACCATGGACTGCTGGTGGCATAGTGGATAAAGCAGTTGGTTGCTAACCAGAAGGTCAGGGGTTCAAAGCCACAAGGGAAGATAGGTGATCTACTTCCTGTAAAGATTTACAGCCTTGGAAACCCAATAGGGGTTGCTGTGAGTCGGAATTGACTTGATGGCAGTGCATTTGGTTTTTTGGATCCTGGAAGCAGTACACCCAGACTGCTCCTTAGAAGTGAGAATGGCAGACTTCATCTCATACTTTGGTCAAGTTCTCCGAAAGGACCAATTCCTAGAGCATATCATGCTTGGTAGATGGTAAACGAAAGACTCTCAGCCGGATGGGTTGACATAGTGGCTGGGACGATGGGTTTTAAGCACGGCAAAGATTGTAAGGATGGCACAGGACAAGGCAGTGTTTCATTCTCTTGTACACAGAGTCGCTATGAGTCTGAATTTACTCCACACTACACAAGAACGCCTGGGAGCTCTGGTAGCATAGTGCCTAAGGCACTTGACTGCTAACCAGAAGGCTGGCGGTTCAAACCCACCAGCCACTCCTCGGAAGGAATGTTGGGCAATCCTACTTCTGTAGTGATACTGCCTCGGAAACCCAAGGAGGGGTCGCTATGAGTCGGGGCCGACTCGATGGCATATAACAACAACAACACACAAGAACGCCTGGGTGAAGGGGAAATCAAGCACAGAGCCATTCAGGGTCCCTAGTGCTGGCCTCACTCAGTATCAGTGCTCTTTCAGCTGAGAACCGTCCAGAAACTACACCTATCTAGGCAGAGAAGCCCCCCAGAGGGAAGACCCTCTCCACTGGAACCGGGGAGCCAAGAACCCGGCACGCTGCCACCCCGCCTCACCAGCCAGGGGGCGCACATCCTTGCTCCCTCCTCGCGGGCAGCGGTGGGAGAGCCGGTGGGCGGTGGTTAAGGGGTGTGGGTGGGTCAGCTGCCCTGCCCCTTCTGAGTGCGAAGACTAGATCAGTGACGGCTTGGCTTATGGCTCTTAGCTTGGGTCCCCAAGAAGTGACCTGGGGGTCAGCCCAACAGACATAAGGAAGAGAGGAACAGGTACCCATGAACTGTAGGGGGAGTCCCACGCCGCTGTCCTCCGCCCAGGTAGGGATCTGGCCTTGAAACTAAATCACCCCTCTGTCTTTGGGCCACGGGACCCTGGCTGTGCCACCTCTGCCCATGCCCCTTCGGACCAAAGGAACTGCAGTAGACACAGGAGCCCTGACATGCCTTCAAGCACCTTCACAATCACGCTCTTCTGCACTCACCCCTCTCCCTGCTGTGTTTGGAAAGAAACCCACCCTCCACGCCCCTCAAATCGCCTCTTTTTCCCTTCCCCCCCTCACAGGGACCCCTGCACGAGGGGGAAAGCAGCCGCGCCTGGGGAAGATGACACTCCCACTCCTAGCCCAACCCCGCTGGACTTAGTGCACTCCCACTCCCTCCCCGCCCCGCCTCCGGAGTGTACACGTAGTAGATCCCGTTACCCCGGAACCCTCGCGTTACTCCAACTCGTGGCGCCATCGCTCAGGAAAGGGGCGGGGAAAATGGAGCCGGGGAAGGCGATTCGTGGATTCACTGGCCTGGCCGCTGGGGCTGGGCGCGCTTGCGCACTCCGCAAACTCTTGCCTACCCAGCCCCTGCCATCTGGCATGCTTGTTGCGCGCGCCTTCCCTTCCTTTCCTTGCGGCCTACGTTTTGCGGGCAGCGTCCTCTACTTGGTTGGATTGGCACAACCTGTGAGTGGCCTGGCTGAGAGCGGGCACCGTGCTCTCGGAGGGCACAGTGAAACGGAGAGAGTAGACGCGGAAGAGCCCGGGAAGGGGCGAGTTGGAGGGGCATGAGGTTGGGGCGATGTAATGAATGGGGTGAACTGGAGGTGAGGGAGTTACGGGAGCCTGTGGTAAGTGGTAGGGGACTGAGGCTGGAGAGGAAGAGGGGCTAGTGTGTTCCCCTCTCGGGTGCACCCTTGGGGTAGGACAGAATGAGAAACCGCTGGCTGACCCATCTGATCCCGCCCCTTTCCCATGCCAGGGCACACAGCATGGCAGAAAACCGAGGAGCCGTCCAGACGGAGCTGGACCCCGTGGAGTACACCCTTCGGAAGCGGCTTCCCCCCCGCCTGCCCCGGAGGCCCAATGACATCTACGTCAACATGAAGACTGATTTCAAGGCCCAGTTGGCCCGCTGCCAGAAGCTGCTGGACGGAGTGGGGCGAGGTCAGAACGCTTGCTCTGAGATCTACATTCACGGCTTGGGCCTAGCCATCAACCGCGCCATAAACATCGCGCTGCAACTGCAGGCAGGCAGCTTTGGGTCACTGCAGGTGGCCGCCAACACCTCCACCGTGGAGCTGGTGGATGAGCTGGAACCAGAGACAGATACACGCGAGCCGCTAATCCGCATCCGCAACAACTCGGCCATCCATATCCGGGTCTTTAGGGTCACACCCAAGTAACAGAAATGAAGCTGGATTCCCTCCACGGCTAGGCTCGGATATGGCTCTCCTTGTGCCACAAACTGCCATGAACCTCTGGAAAAGGCCTGTCCCCTCACAGCCCAAAGGACTCTGAATTGAGAGGGAGGGTGTGGTGTCTTGTTGGGCTCAAGCAGGGGGTATCTTGAGTATATGGTCTGTAGCCATTGTCCAGTGCAATAGAAAGTGCCAAATTGTGTTAGTGCCCTGCTGTTCCACCACCGCCTCTCTCCCCTGCAAGTATCTGGAAAGGGAGAGTAGGAAACATCAGGGTTTAGCCACAGAAGAGGAACTCAGATGGTCCCATCCTTCACAGAGAGCATGGGTTGTGCTAGAGATGGTGTAACATAAAACAGACTGGTACAGCGCAGAAGCTTGACAGGCCTGATGTTTGCTTTCAAACTTTTTGTCCTCCCAGGAAGGCCAGGAGAAGTGTACGCTCACCGACTGAAATGTGGCCGGGATGATTGTACACCCAGGAAGCATCCGGCTTACCCCTCTGGTGATGTGGTGACGGTTCCCAGGCACAGGAAGGGTGAGGGTTTAAGGATGAAGGAGGCAAAAGGAAGACTTGGGGCCTTCTTTGTGCCGTGCTCTGGTAGAGACTAACAAATTGCATCCTTTAGTTCTTGGAACTGCAGGGAGCCTGTCAGGCCCTCTGGATGGGCTATTGTAAGAATGTGAAACACCTCCCCTTGAATAATTACTGGGCACACAGGTAATAAATACTTTCATGTTTGGCTATGTGTGGGATAGTCTGATTTTGTTCATGTTTATGAACGAGAGTCATCTAAAGCAATGTTCATCAACATGTGTGGTATCAATTTACTTTTTAAAAAGAAAAGAGCAATTTATGTGGTAGTGTTTTATTGAAGCTTTTTCAGTTAAGTCTCATATGCACATATGGTACTCTTGTGATGTAAATTGTTTTCGCTGTTGGTCCAGGTCAACAGGAGTTTGAACACCTGCTTTCAAGGAGCTGTGCAGTGAACTACATAGTATGGCTCTTCCAGCCACAGTCTTGGTGACTCTCACCAGCTAACTGGGTGGAACTATGCAGGTGCTTGTGGCGCACCCAGGGGATTGGATAAAACCCAAACCAAACTCACGGCCATCGAATGAGATCGGACTCATAGTAACCCCTCCTTGAGTTTCTGAGGCAGTATCACCCCGGAAGTAGATTGCCCAATCTTCCTTCCGAGGAGTGGCTGGTGGATTTGAACCGCCAGCCTTCTGGTTAGCAGTCAGATGCCTTAGGCATTATGCCACCAGAGCTCCTAGGGGATTGGATAGCTTGCTGTTAATAACAGAATTTTTCTCTAGTGCTCTTAGACATAGTGTTGCTTCAAACCAAAGCCAAACCTAACTGCCATCAAGTTGATTCTGATTTCTCCCGTAGAGTGGCTGGTAGGTACAAACCTCCGACCACTGGCTAGCAGCTGATGCTTTAACCACTGTGCCATCGGGGCTCCTTAACTCTGGCTCGGAGGTCTGAAAAGCAGGCTCTTAATTGTTCATAATCAACTCCTCTGCGTTGTGTATTTAACGGGGAACTTTCATGCTGAATCAGTGACTGTTAGCAACAAGAGGAGAGCTGACTCTTCAGAACGACCATTCATACATACCATTCATTCATACAGCTAAACCCTGGTGAGTGCAAGCTGTGAACAAGGCTGGGCTGGGCCCTGGGATACAAAGATGAGTAGGAAATGGCATGACCCCTGCTTTCAAGGAGCTGTGGTGTAATGAATTGCATAGTACGGCTGTTCTAGCCATGGTCTTGGTGACCCCCACCCAGCAGCTAACTGGGTGGAACTAGGTGCTTGTGGCCCACCCAGGGGATTGGATAGCTTGCTAATAATGTATGTAAGGTACGTGGCGCCCTTGTGGGGGTGGGACTACCAATAAGGTGTATGGAACCCTAATGTCAGAATTGGGTAGGCCTGTTACTCCACTAGGCTTAAAATGAATCCTCCTAGAGGCAGAAGGGGGCAGTCTTACTACCATCAAGACAGACAGGAACTGAGAGTGGAGCACATCCCTGGACCTGAGATCTGGGCTGAACCTCCTTGGCAGAGAAATGGCAGCAACACCAGCAGTAGAACTGAGAGATAACACGAGACAGCAGTAGGCTTGCCAGCCCATGGAGTGAGAAAGCTGAGTGCTTTGGGCATCAGGTTTCCTGGGAGAGTGGGGTGCATCTAGGTGCACTTATCAGCAGAGCTAAAAGAGCTTTGTAACCCTTGCCTGAGCAGGGCGGAGGCCAGGCTGAGAGGCCATGCACCAAAGACAGGCCTGCCTTTGGGCACAGCAGAGGGGAGGCTGTCCTGATTGAAGGATTGTATCCTGAGTATGTTCCTGAACTTGAATGGTAACCTGTTGCTTCCTTAATAAACCTAATAATCATGAATATTGTCTATGAGTTATGTGTAACCTTTGCAAAGAATTATTGAGCCCAGCAGGAAAGCAGAGAGTCAGGGCAGGGACAGTTGGTGTCAGAATGGGTGAAAGCATTGGAGGGTGGTGGCATGTCTGACCTCCACCTCATAGGACTCAGCCTGGGGTTGCCGGTGATTTTCTTTCCTCCTTGTGAAGTTAGATGAGGCCAGAGGAAGAGGCTACCCTCATGCTGTTTTTGCAGGAGCTCACCATCTAATTGGGAAGGTGGACCCACAAATGATTGTGGATGAGTAAAGTGTGTTACATAAGAAGTACAAGCAGTGAGATGGGAACGTGGAGAAGGAAACAGGAGAGTGGCCTGGTGGGGTCCAAATTTCACCTTTGACTTGGGTATTGAAGGAGGAAGAGGAATTTGCCAGGCAGACCAGAGAGGGAATCTCTGGGAGAGGGGTCAGCAGGTACAAAGGTGAGGATTCAAGGAGGATGTTTTCGGAAGGACGTTCAGGCCGGCTAGAAAGCAGGAGGCATTGGGGACACTTGAGGAGACAAGGCTGGTGACATCTCGATGAGGCTACCCCCCACCCCACATCAGCCTTGACTGTGGGCTCCTTACTGTGGAGCTCCCAATAGCAGAGCAAGGATTCGGCAGGGAGCCGGGTGGAACTATGTGTCTCTCTGCACGTATGTGTTGTTGTCTATCTGTGCTCCTGGCCTGGGCCCAGCTGAGGTGGTGGCAAGCGGCCCTTTAGCATTTGGCTTGTTTCGGCAGTTCCCTCTTCCAGCCTGTTTGTTGTTTCTTCTCCCTGTTCAGTCACTGCTTGCCAGTGGAGCCCCCCTCAGAGGCAGCTCTGCAGGAACAGGGTCTGGGGCTTCCCCTTTAGTGTGTGGGGAGGTTGGTAGAGGCGTGAGGAAGGTCCTTGCTCCACCGTAGTCCCCGTGCAGCAGGCAGGCAGGGACCTCTGCTCCTCCGTGAAAGGCCCGCTGTGGCCTCTGTTCCCCTCCCTTCTACTGGTTCTCTGAGGTGACTGCCACCAAAGCTTGCGGACCTAGGGGAAGGGGATGGAGGTAACAGTTTTGTCCAAATGCAAGTCCCCTCCTTTCTTTTTCACTCAATAGCTGCAGACCCCACAACCCCAAAACCCCCACTGCCATCAAGTAAACTGTAACTCATAGCAACCCCCATTGGCTTTCCAAGGCTGTAAATCTTTACGGAAGTAGACTGCCTCATCTTCCTCCTGTGGAACAGCTGGTGGATTTGAACTACTGACCTCCTGGTTAGCATCCAAATGCCTTACCCACTATACCACCAGAGCTCCTTCAGACCCCATGAGTGGGAAGTGACCTCCTACTTCAGAAACATCTCCAGAGGCCAGAACTCAAATCCAAATGCTTAGGTTGGAAGAGGGTGTAACGTTTGCCATCCATAAGCATTTAATGAGGACGCAGTAGATGTAGGGAGCTCTAGTGGCACAGTTCCTAAGGCATTAGGCATTGACTGCTAACCAGAAGGCTGGCAGTTCAAATCTACCAGCCAAAAAAAAAAAAAATGGTTTTAGGCCTCTTAATGGGATAGGGAGAAAGGAGAGATGAGAGTTCATGTTCTCAGTTTCGGGTTTTTGGCAGAACACTGCCAGGCTTGTAACTGTGGCCCAGCCTAGCCAGGAAGAGGACAGGCCTGGTTTAGATGGACTGATGATCTTTCTTGCAACGTTCTAGCACTTTGTCCTAGGTGAGTTCTGGTGCTTGGTCAAGAGCTGGGGAAGAATGGTGAATGGTGTCTTCCACCGACCACCGAACCTCTGGAGGAGTTGGGCAGTTAAGTGTATGTTGAACGTGGTTCCATAGGGAACAGGTGTCTTAACTGTACAGAGAGTCAGGATGGAGCACCGTTTATCCCTTCAAGAAAAGAGTCTGTGAAAATGGTCACTTGACTCCAGCTTCCTGGTGGCATTGTGGGTGCTTTGTAATTGATGTGTTTTGGTGTTTTCTATTTTTTTTTTTTTTCAGTGAACATATATTGTTTTGTGATAAGAAAAAGTTTGTTTTTCACAAAGCTTGTTCCTGATTGATCCTATGTTCTCTGTTATCTTATTAAAAAAACTAATGAGCTAACCTGTAGGAGAAGTGGTTTTATTGCCCGCTAGAGTCACTAGTAGGGAACTGATGGATGAACGAGGAGGTCGATGAATGCCTGGAAAGATGCATGGAGATGGGGTTTGTGTTGTCTAATCCATCACAAAGCCTCTCCTCCCCTGAGAAACACCAAATGTCTTGTCACAGGAAGTATGCAAGCAGAGGGTGGGCCTTCACCTTCACAAGACCTCCTTGGTCCCTTCCAACTCCAAGCCTATGAATCTTGTTTGCTGCAAGAAAAATACGCTTTCCTGAAAGTACTAAAATTATTTGCTGGTTCATGAACTTAGACATGAGCAGAAGAGTTCGTTGTTTACAGATGGAGGATGTTATGGGGTCAAACAATAGATTCTTATGATTTGTCGATTCTCAGTGAACCACGAACAATTTGGGTAAGCATTTGCTTAATTTGGATGTTTAGGAATATGTGTAAGGCTGCAAGAAATGTC